AAGTCTCTATCACAGACCTTAATGAAGGAACTATTTTTAAATTTCAGTTTCACCAGCTACTGACAACTTACCTAATCAATTTTCTTTAATATCAAGTTGTGAAAAACATCTCAAATTTCTTTTTTTTTTTTTTTTTTTGCAGTTTTTGGCCAGGACCAGGTTTGAACCTACCACCCCTGGTATGAGGGGCCGGTGCCCTACTCCTTTGAGCCACAGGCATCACCCACATATCAAATTTCTTAAGCAAAGTGGTTAACTACCCCAATCCAGAAAACTAAGGGTCAGTCAGTTTAGCAAAGATAGTCCCTCGGAATTCATCTCCATATATTTAAACTACTTACCTCTGCAATTAGATCACCCTCATTGATTTTTTCCCCCTCTTTTTTTTCCCAACGGGCTATGGTGCCTGCCTGCATTGTGGGGGACAAAGAAGGCAACGGAACCTGGAGGAGTAAAAAGAGAAAACACCACATTTTAAAAAGGGCTGCCTAGCTCTCAGTCTGGCTTAAGATTTCATTCAACTCAATTTCGTGCAAAGAGTTTACTGAGTCCCATTACACACTGGGCACTGGGGATACAAGGAGAATCCTGTCCACTAAAAGTTCCTAATTTCCAGTGACAGGCTTCCTCCTCCACAGTTCTGTGGGACTGACAAAGCATAAACTTCCGATGTTTTGCATACAGCCTTTCCAAGAAGGCTTGGAGCTCTTCTTTCAATGGAATTGATCACCAGAGGGAAGCTCAGGATCTACAGCAAAACTGAGTATTGGACAATGGGCGATGACAGACACTAGGAGGGTTTGGAGGGTCACTGAGGCCTCTGAAGTAAGATCCCTGCGGCTAAGTCTGCCCTGAAGGACAACGGGGTCCTGAAAAGGACTCTGGTTGCGGGCTCACCTTCTGATGCGGGGGGAGACTATAACAGCGGCGACTGGGCGATCCCAAAAGCTGCAGCAGTAAGTGGTTCCGCGGCGTGACCCCATAGCTGGGGCTCCAGCCACACAGTGCCCGGACCCCACCATACCCGTTGCTATTGCAACGAACTGGAGCCGGGACAGACCGTGAGGTCACGCGTGGAGCTCCAGGTCCCTCCCGCAAGGCCGTCCACCGAGCCCCAAGTCCTGTCTTCGGGGTTACATTCTGGGCCCCTCGAGCACAGACGCGCCACATACTGCCACCAAACCCTCACCACCCCCAAACCAACGCCGTCTCCGGAGTGACCTCTCCCGGAGTAGCGCAGCGTTGCCGTCAGCCACGCCGCGCAGCCGCACGTTGTCGTAAAACGGGCCCCGAGGCTTCACTTTACACCCTCCCCAGACCAGAACCGCGCGGAAAGTGGCGGCCGGGGCCCGCGGGGGCCGGGACGGCCCAGCGAAGCCAACGCCCGCGCGAGCTGGGGAGAAATAAGAGGCGGAAAAGGGTGGAAGATGGTGGCGGGTGCGGGAGGTCCTGGGAGAGGCATCCCAAAGGGTAAAAACGGGCCCGGAGGGTTGTGAAGGGCACGAGCGAAAAGGGAGGGGTCTAAAAAGGCGCTGAGATACGAGCTAATAGCGGCCCAGCGGCGAGTGGCCCGAGGGGCGTGGCCAAGCGTGGAGGAACTGGGCGGAGCGAGCGGGGGACTGGCCGGCTACGGGCAGCGGGTTGGGGGGCTGCGGGTGGGGGGGCTGGCCAGCAGCTAAGGGCTGGGTTCTTGGAGCGCACTTATGGAGAAAGTAGCTAGGAACTGTCTGTGGGGGAGCAGGGGGCATCGAAGGGTCCAGGTGATGTGCCTTCTGCTTCTGCGAATCCAAAAGTGACTATGGGGCTCCCCCTGCGGTAGGCTGTACTGAGTTAGAAAGATTGAATTTCAGGTTTGTAGCCCGACCGCAGATGTGAACCGGTGTTCTAAACGGTGGAAGGGCAGCCAAGAGGAAGAGACGCGCCCGCGTTACTGTAGCAGGATTGCGGGTAGTCCCTGTATGAAAATACACCGTGTGTATCACAACAGAGACCAAATGGTTAGAAATATTTCATCATTTTGAAACAAACCATGTTCCATACAACAATGCACTAAAAATTGTGGGATACGCGCTGTCCTTAGCAGGAACTAATGCTGCGACTGACTGCATTTTTTTCTACGGTAAATAAAATGTGGACATCAGAAAAATCACAATTAAGTGTTGAGACTTTGAAAGCCATTTTAGGTGTGAAATATAATTTAACAGATTCTTGTGAAAAATTTCATGACCTTTTAAACAATGACAGCAATCTACTAAAAAAAATTCACTCAAATGAGAAATATGCCAAAGAATAGAATAATACTATACAGTTTTTTAATGTATATTTGTAAATTGTACTTATGTTGAAATTAAAAAATATATACTACAATACTATTTTTGCATTCTATGAAAATTTTTGTTGCTCCATGTAGACCAAATTTTTAATTAAGAACACCCCACCTCCACCCCCCTGGTCAATGGTGTCCAGCTTTACCAATGTTAAAATCTGGTCGCCTTAAATACAGGTTTAAAAAAGAAATTTGTTATCCCCTATTTTAAAATAGAAGCCTTTTAAATAATGCTTTGTTTTATGTGAAATGTTTCCTACCAAAACTAAACTATATAAGCCCTCAAAGACAGGAAGTGTGTCTTGGTTGCTGAATGTATGTCTTTTCAATTAATGGATGATAAATTATCTACACAGATTTGTTAGGTATGCTATTGTAAGGTCATTTTATAATTAGAAAACATCATTTCTGAGATGAAGGTGGCATTAGGCTGGAAGTATGAGCTGTATTTACATCACTAAGTCCTAGTTGAAGATAGTCAGAGTATACCTAAAACACAAGGAATTGGAGCAGGGGGAAGCCAAAAAACCCCACGATTTAAAAACATTTAACTTTGTTAACAATTAATTTGGAAAATTAAACAGCCCATAGATAGTATAAGATACCTACTTAAATTGGAAATGTTTAAGCTGGTACAGCTGCCCAACAGAATAACATAAGCAATGTAATTGAGAAATAGAAAATCTCCACATTAAATGGAAAGGAATATTTGAAATAATAGGAAGAGAAGGACAATCAGATTGTTATATAAAACTTGTGTATGACTACTGGAAGAAGCGAGGGAAAAATAATTGTGATTAGTGAAAGGGCTTATATTATATAGATTATAGTTTAACTATAGAATGTAATAACCAGATCTAATCAGCCTTTAGAATACAGCATGAGGTCTGCAAGATCTGCTGTTCACTTAGACTTGCTTAAACCTTGTTTTGCAGTTTTCAAAGAATAGTGAATTTGTTGATTGAATATAATTTTGACTTAGGTATAACTAAATTATAGGAAGGCACAGAATGAAATAGTCCAGGAATGGTAAGTTTACCGCACAGCTAGGCTAAGAATTCTTAGGTTTGTCACATCAATCCTTATAGAACAAGCCTGAGTGATCCTAAACAGTTCGGAAAAGGAAAACTCAAGACTCAAGAGGTTTGACGCACAGAGACTTGTAGAATGGAGATATAAAGTGGGTAGATGGAAAGAAACATTTCCATCAACGTTTGAATCACTACAATGTTTCAATTGTATTGAAAGATACAATTTGAGTTAAATTTTGTGCACACTGAATTTTAACATAATGATGGAACAGCCAATTAATAGTTGAAAATGTTTAGTTGGAAGTCAATGAAAGCATTCAGGACTAAACAATTAGATACAGCAAACATTAAATTGACGCCATAAACAAAGCCTACTTAAATTTGGGGGAAGGTGATTTGGGAATTTGGGTTCCTTTATACATTTTTGAAGGAATGTGCATTTTGTTTACTTAAATACTGTTTTCACAGAGTAAGGTTGTCATTTGAACATTTATATGAAATGCTAAAATTACTTGTTCTTGGTAGTTATAGCCCACATTGTGCTTACATTAGAAATACCAGTAGTGGCTCGGCGCCTGTGGCTCAAGTGGCTAAGGTGCCAGCCACATATACCTAAGGTGGCGGGTTCGAATCCAGCCTGGGCCCGCCAAACAACAATGACGGCTGCAACCAAAGAATAGCCGGGCGTTGTGGCAGGCGCCTGTGGTCCCAGCTACTTGGGAGGCTGAGGCAGGAGACTCTCTTGAGCCCAGGAGTTGGAGGTTGCTATGAGCTGTGATGCCACAGCACTCTACCCAGGGGGATAGCTTGAGGCTCTGTCTCAAAAAAAAAAAAAAAAAGAAAGAAAGAAATACCAGTAGTAAAATATCTGTAGCAATAAAATGATCTTTATCTTCATTCTCCATGAAGTGTATAATGAGTAAACATGCTACCAAGGAGATCACTTAAGGAAATTTACTTTTCACTAAACGTCAAGGGCTTTATTGATTAAACTCAGTCAATAAACACACAAGTGAAAATGATTAACGGTATTTTGTTTGCAAATGCCATTTTATTCATAGTTTATGTTTTTTAAAATTAGTTCGCAAATCCGGTACATACAGGCAGTTAAAACTGGTTATCACTTTGATAATCAGAAGCCTCTGATACAGCACAGTCTTCATGAAAACATTGTAAAACAGGGAGAATACACAGAAATAATCTCTTTGAAAGCAATGCTTGCAAACATCCATGTTTCTAAGAAAATATAACTTTACATATATAGGTATTTTAAGCAAGCTGTACCTCTTACATAAATTCAGACAACAGAAGGAGTGTGCAACCATAATGCTCATTTTGTGGAAAAAATGAAAATAATTTTAATTGTGACCTAAATGCTTCTCAGGGAGTCTTCTTGGACTGGATGCAGAGCATAAAGATATCTTCCCTACTTTACAACCGTCCTTTACAGCTTTTACTGACTGAAAAGCTGGTCAGTAAGTAGGACTGCTATTACCAAGTGAGTTTAACCCAAATTCTTTAGGTACAAATTGTACAGTGTTCCAATCCTAGCTAATTGAGGGAATTGAGCAAGAAGAGAACGGTCTGACTTCAGTTTTAAGGAACTGAACTCTCAGCTAGTTTTTATGTCTGTCTTTTTTTTTTTTTAAGATTATTTTATGAACTCCAACCATTGCAATTCCTTAGTTTTCTCAAAGTAAGTTGGACAGCAGTCACAGGATGGACTACCACCCCAATGCTACTAGGCAACAATACTATGAATACATCAGGAGGCCTCAGAGTACAGCCAGATGAAAGACTTTTCAAAACAGGGTGAATCACTGCATACTCTTGTTCAGAAGGTTCCTCTTTAGAAACTGGAAAAGAGGATCACCAACACATTTTGTACAAGAGTTCCTGTGGTGACATCCTCTAGTAGGGACACTTAATCATTTCCCATGATACATGAGATTCATGAACTAAAGGGGGAAAAAAATAATCTCATGTTCTCCTTCTGGTGAACTCCACTTCAGCTTTTTATGGAGGTATTGAGGCCATGAAGCTCCTTTTCCAAAACAGATGGAGACAAAATAGGTAGGTAGAAGACTTGGAAAACAACTTTTGATTTAATCTCCGTAGAGTTGAATTGCACATAATGGTAAAGACGTTGCTTAAAACTGACCAGTAAAAATGGATTAAAGAGACAGATATTCAAGATAAATCGAACTGGAGATACAATAATGAATTTTGGCCTGATAGCCCTCATGCTATCTTATAGCAAAACACTAAAATTCATGCAACAGAGAAACTGGTGACATGAGGACTTTTTCTCCAGACTTCCTAGGAAAAAACCGTAAGAATACACTATTTTCTTCTGTTTGCTTTCATTATATATTATTCTTGCTTTTGGCTGACTTCCCAAACTTTCCCAGTCATTGCTGATGAAAAATCATTCTTCAGTAGAAGAACAAAAGAAATCAAGTGTCTCCTGAGCTCCTTATATCTGCTAGAGGAGCCATCTACCTCCACAACTAACACAGCAGGTAGAACTGGAACAAGAATTAGTTGTCATTAGTATTCTTGTAATAAAGCTTGTCTGAAACCACAACGGGTGGTAAGAAGAGACTGTATAAAAGCTGCTGGGTTCCCTAGAAAATGGATACATTATACAGAATATGAGAATATATAGGACTCACACTCAAGTTATAAAAATAGACATGGTTCTCAGACAAAAGCAAATTGAGTACAAAAGAAGTCTCCAAACATAACTATTTTTAAAAGACATATCTATATAAAACAACAAGATGTCATCTCGGAGCTCCAAAGAGTAGTCTGTTGAAATGGCTGAAAAGGAGAGATGAATTGGAGACAGATCAAGAACCTGGAACCGATCTGTCCCACTCTTCTGGTTTGGCAGTGTACACTGGAAGTCACAGGCAGACTGCTTTGGGAACTACACATAACAATGGCTGATTCGTTGATGGTGGTTGGTAGGTGAATGGAAAAACCCAGGCTATTAAGTAATCTCTTAAGTTGAACTCTTAGCTTCTACACTTGACAATGTTGCATATGAAAAAAAAGATTCTAAGTTTTTCCACCCAGAATCAACCCTGCCATAACAACTCATGCTCCATGCCCCACGGTTTCAATTGTGCCCTAAAGGATCAGCCTAGACTATATAAATAGAAAATAATTCCAACCTTGAAATGAGGAGGAACAGACCAGTAATTCATGCTCAGTACTCATAAATCACAAAGAAATACTGAAATTAATGGTTCACCTCCTTTTAACTGCAAAGGAGATGCTATGAGTTAGTCATGAGACAAAAAGTCAAGATGTGGGTAGCAGCACCTTTCCATACCCGCCTGGATTTTTAAGGAGCCTTTCACTCCTTATTCCTTGCAAACACAAAGTTCATCAGTTTGAAGAAAAAGAAATTGCTCTCAAGTTAGAGTCCCCAGGGAAAACTAGCGGTACATGAAATAGGCCCTATGTGGGCTAAAAGACAAGCTGTAGAACCAGTTAAGACAGAAGAGGCAGCCCCAGGTCTTAGTTACAGTTTTAGCATAGTATAGCACAAGGTGGGCAGCCCTTTTTCCATCCAATCAACAATTCAGCACCATCCATGTCCAGTTCAAAAGATTACTGAAGAGTGGGCTTTCATCTTTGGTACCACCTGATGAGTTATTCTTGATATTCTTGGTTTGCAATAGCTGCAAAGAAACAGGAAAGCTGGTACCTTTGCCGTGTCTGTAAGTACAGATGCTGGGACTCTGATTGATGCAACCATTGAGGCCAATTAAAATAATACTGTAACACAGGAGTGATGCATCCAATTCCTAGTTTCCAGATAATAGCAGCCATGCCCCTGCAGGAGAGGGATCATCCATCCCCATTGGTTAAGGCCTTCGGTTTGTTGTCCTCAGAGTAGAACAAAATACTGTGTTCCCACGAACAAGAACTCCAGATGAATACATGGTCTACATTTGGGCAGAGATTTCAAGAACCAGATATGCCAGGCACAGAAAAACAACTGGCCTGTGGCCATCACACTTGGAGAAGCTTCTGTTTGACAGCACAAACTAGAAACTTCTTAGTGTATTCTGGTTTGGGTCCCCTTTCCTGAGTGAGGCAGCAAGGGAGTGACCAGGTTCCAAAAGCCCCCAGTCTGATACTCAGCATTAATTCTCTCCATGGTCTTCTTCTACCCAGGCTACAATTTTCCCTTCCCATCCAGGAATGGCATCATCATCATGGAAAACCTACAGACACAAAAGAAGCCACAGTGAAAAAAATAGAGAACCGCACTAAACAACTGCTGCTAAGACCTCAGACATGTAGGATGAGAATGTGTAGAAGAAAGCCTTGAGTTGGAGTCTACGCCCTTTTATGTCCCTAAAGTTGCAGCTGGTATTTTATATATTTTTTCTTAGTTCCATATCCATGAAATTAAAAAGAAGAAAAAGGTAATACGGTTTTGCTCAAAGAGATTTCTAAGAATTTATAAAATACTGGGTGGCACCTGTGGCTCAAAGGAAGTAGGGCGCTGGCCCCATAGACAGGAGGTGGCGGGTTCAAACCCGGCCCCGGCCAAAAACTGCAAAAAAAAAAAAAAAGAATTTATAAAATACTAATCACTGGCTCGGCGCCTGTGGCTCAGCCGGCTAAGGCGCCAGCCATGTACACCTAAGGTGGCAGGTTCGAATCCGCAGCCCAGACCCGCCAAACAACAATGACGGCTGCAACCAAAAAATAGGTGGGCGTTGTAGCGGGCGACTGTGGTCCCAGCTACTTGGGAGGCAGAGGCAGGAGACTCGCTTGAGCCCAGGAGTTGGAGGTTGCTGTGAGCTGTAATGCCATGGCACTCTGCCCAGAGGGACAGCTTGAGGCTCCGTCAAAAAAAAAAAAAAAAAAAAAATACTAATCACACAGCAGTAGTGTAAGATTTTTGTACCAGGCGCTGTCAAGAAAGGCTGGGGGAAAAAACCAATCTTGATTTATTTCTCAGATGCAGTTCTGTCATTCAGTTCATTTCCTAAGTCAGCAGTAACAGAGTTATTAAAACATTTCCCTGTGGAAAAGTTTACAAGATAAAATTTTTGCTTTTGAAACTTATTTCATTTTTGGAATCACAATAAAGGCACTTGCAATACTTGATAACCAGAATTCCCTTGCCACAAAAAAGTCTATAGCAAATGGATTACAAAGGGAAGCATAGGCTAAGAAGATACTCAAAGAGTTGGGAATAAGTTCAGGCAACTATCCAGAAGTTCCTTGTTTCATTATAAGAAACTATCATCACATAATACATAGTTCCGTATATTTATACCTGGTGGTTTATTTTACACTACATAGGAAACAAGTTTTTTAAGATTTGACTACAGACAGAAAATTATTTTATTGTCATAGGTCTTTATGTTTCCTAAAAAAAAGTTCTTCCTTTTTAAAAATTTCTAACCCAAGTTCTTGGTCAATGTGATCAAGACCTAAAATTAAAAAAAAAAAAAAAACTATCAATATTTTACATCATTTTATAACCTTCTTGGTCTGAGACTCTCGCAAATTCCTCTGACCTGGGTTACTCATGTACTTACGGGTACTAGTCCTTCAATAGGTTTCTGGGCTTAGGTATGACCTGTAATACCTCCCAGACTCCCCTGGATTCTGTACCTCCTCTTTGACAGTGCCAAACTCAGGATCCAGGGCTTTGAAGTGATACCGGTGATTCCCTTCCCGATCAATAGCTGCTTTAAAATCCTTCAGTGTCACCTCCCCCAACCTGCAACAAAAGGAGAGAACACTAAAATAGAACTGTTAATCAGTCACCTACAAAGATAAGATGTTAGCTTAAACCCTGGCCCCTGCCAAAGTCAACAGGCAGAAATAGCCCCTGGTTAGGTCACTGTCCCTAATAACCAGGACCGAAAGAGCAGAGGCTGGAGAACCAGTGACCACTGGGGAATGAAATGGCATTACATGTGAATATTTAAAGTAGAGTCATTGCTTCAGCATCAGAAAAATCACTTTTCTCTGTTCCTGTCCTGAAATCAAATTTGTTGAACAGCCATAAATACATCCAAGTTCTCTCGATTTCCTTCCTTGCTACGTACAATATCCAGTTCTCCAGGCCAATAGAATTGAATCATGTATCACCATCTTTATCCTTCTGTCATTAGGCTACTGCTTCTAACCCAGACTAAATAAGCAGACTCTTTAGGAAGAAAAATATTTTTTTTTTTTTTTTTTGAGACAGAGTCTAAAGCTGTTGCCCTGGGTAGAGTGCCGTGGTATCACAGCTCACAGCAACCTCAAACTCTTGGGCTTAAGCAATTCTCTTGCCTCAGCTTCCCAAGTAGCTGGGATTACAGGTGCCCACCACAACACCCGGCTATTTTTCGGTTATAGTTATCATTGTTGTTTAGCTGGCCCTGGGCCGGGTCTGAACTCAGTGTACATGGCTGGCGCCCTACCCAATGAGCTATGGGCACTGCCATGGGAAGAAAATTGTATATAACCTTACTAATTGGTTCCTGAGTTTAAATACCTTTATTTCAAACCATTTGCCTTAAGATGAACTATATTAACTGGGTTTTTGGAAGGGTTTTTTTTTTTTGATACACATTCCCACTTGGTCACCCTCAGTAGAGTGCTGTGGCGTGACAACAACCTCAAATTCTTGGGCTCAAGCAATTCTCTTGCCTCATCCTCCCTAGTAGCTGGTACTATAGGCACCCACCATAACATCTGGCTATTTTTAGAGGCAAGGTCTTGCTCTGCCTCAGGCTGGTCTTGAACCTATGAGCTCAGGCACTCCACCCACCTTGGCCTCCCAGAGTGCTAGGATTATAGGCGTGAAGGTTTTAAACATAATTCTCAACAGGGATTAGTTGCAGTCATCAAACAGCAAGAAATATCGATGAGTCACAGCCCTGGAATGAGTGCCAAGCTGCAATCCGTGGCTATTAGCAGAATCTATTTGAACACTTAAAATACTGTTTTCCCAGTTTTAGAGTGTATATTTGCACAGTCACCAAGATTGGAAGTACTATTATTGTACCTGGACCTCGTAGTAGGTAGGTCATGCTGTTAGGTCACAAAGCTGGAAATAGACTATCTCTTAGACTTCTCACTATATAACACTGCTTCTCAAACACCTTGCAGCTGCTCACGGTGGGCAGTGCAGTAACTAATGGTTCTGCTTTCCTTTTCTTTTTTACAGAGAAATAATGATTCCAGAATCTTACCTCTTTGGTATATTGACCATGAAGGGTGTAAGTGACCGGTCAGTGAAATACAGCACTTTAGTGCAGGTGCTGCTGACAGTTGGCGAGCTCTGTGAGTGGGGCAACTCTGGAATCAGAGAGACTTTGTAGTTAGAACATTCAGTTTCCTCCAAACCAGCCCTCATTCCCAGTGTCCCAGGAGAATGAAGCTGCCTGAGGTCACAGAGCACAGCTTCCACACCCTTGCCAAACAGCAGGCTCACTGGCAGTGATCCACAGGAAGTCACCACTAGGACCACGAGGACAAAAGGTGCTTCAGACGTGGACACTATCAATGAACAGAAAACTCAGCAGGAACGAGAACCACAGGAGTCGAGTAGCCTTAGAAACCGAAGTGCAAGACTGACCTTAACTCCCAGGTTATAGGATCTGGGTATGTTTGTCACAGGTTTCTTGATCAACATCTTTTCTCTATCCTTTAAAGAGATACTTGTGGAAAGGTATAACTAATGAATACTTATGATTATGACTTTAAGAAAATAGGAGAAAAGACCAATCAGAAACTTTTAACATAAGGACCCAAAACCAATAATTAAACTTTTGTTAAAATCTCTCCTGCAGGGACGCATTTTTCTCATATGACCTCTCGAGGCCATGTGCTCTAGGCTAGTCACATACATTTGGCTCAGAAGAAACCTCTTAAAATTAAACACACACACACACACAAACCTAAAAAAACTCTAGTGCAATTCCACCTGTACAGATTTTCTTCTTAACTTATTCCAGGCATTGGTCCCAATCACAATGGCAGCCACAGGAGAGTAGTCTTTGGAGGGGGGGTTAAAATAAGAAAGAGGAACCCACAATAATTAATGCCCAGGTAACAAAACTTAGAGGTCTCGTAATAACTAAAAATAAATTTTTTTAAAATTAAAACCCACAATAATTACAAATTTTAAAATTTCAAAAATTAAAATATGGCATAGCTTAAAAAAAAAAGAGTATGAGTGATGAATTAATACAAAAATAAAGACAAGGGAAAACTCCTCTCATTGCACAGAAATCACATTTTGTCAGTTTTCAGAATTTTTCATCCAAAGAATGCCAAGTATTGTAATCTACATGCCATGATTCTCCTTTGCCCTAGCTGGGTAGTGCACTACCTGGCACACACTGGTTGTTAAACAAATAAAATATTCACTCTTAGCGTAAGTTATATCACTTGCTCATTCAAGAAACATTTACTGAGTACCTACTATGTGCTGGATTTTGAGACTATAAAAATCAACTAAGCCCCCATGAGACCTTTAAGAATGTATAGTCAGTATGGATGACAGGAACAATTCCAAGTATTTACAAGGAACAATTCCAAGTATTTACAATTAACTAGAATCAGATTTGTACAAACTATATGGGAGAACTGAAGATGGGGAAGTTAACTCCACCTGGAAGAGGTAGAAAAGCCCCAAAGTTGGGGAATCCTTTTTGTGAGCACCTCTAAAATATCATGAGATAGTTGGGCGTGGTGGCTCACATCTGTAATTCTAGCACTCTGGGAGGCTGAGGCGGGTGGGCTGAGCTCAGGAGTTTGAGATCAGCCCGAGGAAGAGCAAGACTCTCTCTAAAAATAGCTGGGCATTGTGGCTGGTGCCTAGCGTCCCAGCTACTCAGGAGACTGAGGCAAGAGGCTCGCTTGAACTCAAGAGTTGGAGGTTGCTGTGAGCTATGACACCAAGGCATTCTACTGAGGGTGACAAAGCGAGACTCTATCTCCAAAAAAAATCATGAAATAGAGCAGTTGAAAAGGACATTCCAATAAGAGGGAATGAAAAGGGATCATGTATTTATAAGACTGTAAATAAACTAGTACGGTTGGAGTATATGAATATATTGGGCAGTTGTGGGGTAATAAAGCAAGTAGAGGCCAGATCACACAGGACTCAGATTGACAGGCTTAGAGTCTGAGGCTCTAAGAGATACAAAAAAGGATCAGACTAGCATTTTAAAGAGGTTAGTCTAGCAGCAAATTAGGTATGGACTGGATAAGTGAAACTCTTGAAACTGTTGTCGTCTTGAAGTCTGTCCCCCCAACCTCATAATGAAATTTGATCCCCACTGTTGGAGGTGAGGCCTAGTAGAAGGTCTTTGGATCTTCATGGGTGGATCCCTCAAGAATAGTTTAATGGGCCTCACGCTTGTAATCCTAGCGAGCTGGGAGGCTGAGGCAGGTGGATTATTTGAGCTCAGGAGCTTAAGACCAGTGTGAGCCAGAGTGGTCACATCATGATTTCTCTAAAATAAGCCAGGTGTTATGGCGGGCACCTGTAGTCCCAGCTACTCCAGAGGCTGAGGCAAGAGAATCGCTTGAGCCCAAGAGTTAAGAGGTTGCTGTGAGCTATGAGAGCTCTACTGAGGGCAACAAAGTGAGGCTGTCTCAAAAAAAAAAAAAATAATAAATAAGAATAGTCGAATGCCTGGGAGTGAAGACTAAGTTCTGTTAGTTCCCATGAAAATCAGTCGTGAAAAGGACCCTGGTGCCTCCCTCCCCCTCTCTCACTTCCTCTCTCTATGTCACATCTGCACACACCAGCTCCCTTCTACCATGAGTAGAAGCAGTCTGAGGTTGTCACCAGATGCCCAGTCTTCCAGCCAGCAAAATAGCCGAGGAAACCTCTTTTCTTTATCAATTACCCAGCCTCCAATATTCCTTTAAAGCAGCGGTTTTCAACCTGTGGGTTGCAACCCCTTTTAACTGTACTAAAGGGTTGCAGCATTAGGAAGGCTGAGAACCACTGCTTTAAAGCAGACTAAGACATCCTGTGAAGAGGCAATTAAAACTATCTGAACGATTAGGCAGCCCTGGAGCCAGAGAAGGGATGGATTGGAAAGACCTTTTTTTTTTTTTAAGAGATAGAGTTTCACCTCGTTGACCTCAGTAGAGTGCCATGGCGTCAGAGCAACCTCCAGCTCTCGGGCTTAGGCAATTCTCTTGCCTCAGCCTCCTGAATAGCTGGGACAACAGGCGCCCGCCACAATATCTAGCTATTTTTTGTTTGCAGTATGGCCAAGGCCGGGTTTGAACCCACCACCCTCAGTATATGGGGCCAGTGCCCTACTCACTGAGCCACAGGTGCTGCCCTGAAAGACCTTTAGAAGTTAAAGTCTTAGTACTAGGGATATGGTTGAACATAGAATAGAAAAAATAAAAGTCAAAAAATGCTGAGATTTATAAGCTGGGAAGATAAATGCATAGTAATACCATTACTTAAGTTAGGGAAGTTAGTCATGTCATTTAATTATTCATTTAAAATACTTATTGGGGCCGGGCAGGGTGGCTTACGCCTATAATCCTAGCACTCTGGGAGACCAAGGTGGGTGGACTGCTTGAGCTCAGGAGTTCTTGAGCAAGAACAAGACCCTATTTCTGCTAAAAAAGAAAAAAAATAAAAGAAAGAAAGAAAGAAAAAAAAAAACTAGCTGAGTGCTGTGGCTGGCACCTGTAGTGCCAGCTGCTTGGGAGGCTGAGGCAAGAAGATCACTTGATCCCAAGATTTTGAGGTTGCTATGAGATATGATGCCAGGGCAACAGAGTGAGACTCTGTCTAAAAAAATAAAATAAAATAAAATACTTATTGGGTTCCTATTGTGTACCAAGTATTAGAGATGCACAGTTGATACAATCCCTACCCTGAAGGAGCTCAAAGTTGTGGAGATAAAAAACAGTTACAATACAATAAAATAAATGTGAAAATAAATTTGGTACTTCATATGGAATAAACTGTGTCTGTCCCAAATTCCTATGTTGAACTTCTAACCTGTCATGTGACTGTACTGGAAATAGGGTCTCTAAGGATGTGATTGGATGATGGGCAAGCACAGCGGCCTGTCATCCCAGCACTCTGGGAGGCCAAGGCAGGCGGATCACTTGAGGCCAGAAGTCCAAGACCAGCTTGGGCAATGTAGTGAAACCCCACCTCTACAAAAAAACAAAGAAGTGTTTTACAGCCAGACGTGATGGCACAAGCCTATAGTCCTAGCTAGTTGGGTGGCTGATGCAGGAAGATCACTTGAGCCCAGGAGTTTGAGGCTGCAGTGAGCTATTGTTAGACCACTACACTCTAGCCTGGGTAACTGAGCTATACCCTATCTCAAAAAAAAAAAAAAAAAGATTAAATGTGGTCAGAAGGTGAAGCCCTGATCCAATAGACTGGTGCCCTTACAAGTAGAGGAAGGGCATGTAAAGGCGCAGGGAGAAAGTGGCCTATTGCAAGCTAGGAAGGGAGCCCTTGCTGGAACCTAAGCATGCTGGCGCCCTGACCTCATACATCCAGCCCCCTCCACTTCAGAACCCAAGGTGGCAGGTTCGAATCCAGCCCGGGCCCACCAAACAACAATGACGGCTGCAACCAAAAAATAGCCAGGCATTGTGGTGGGCGCCTGTGGTCCCGGCTACTTGGGAGGCTGAGGCAGGAGACTCGCTTGAGCCCAGGAGTTGGAGGTTGCTGTGAGCTACGATGCCACAGCACTCTACCCAGGGGGACAGCTTGAGGCTCTGTCTCAAAAAAAAAAAAAAAAAAAAGAAAGAAAGAAAATACATCTGTGTTGTTTAAGACATCCAATTTATGGTGTTTTCCTGGATTTTATGGTATAGTGCCCAAGCTCACTAATACAAACATTATGTACACCTTGGGGGAAAATTTCAAAGAAAGAGTAATCACGATGTGAAATACAACACAGGAAAAGACTGGTTTGGTAAATAGTTCATTGATGATACTAGTGAAAGCTGATTCAGATTACCAAAGAATAAGTTTGAATGCACAGACTTTTCAAATGAAAAAGAGAATAAAGAATAATAATGAGGGAGAACTCTTTTCACCCTATATTAAACCATATGATAAAAAGATTATTACATCATTGTGGAGTTTCTATAAAAAATAGAGTAGAGGGTGGCTCCTATGGCTCAGGGGGTAGGGCACTGGCCCCATATACCAAGGGTGCCAGGTTCAAACCCAGCCCCGGCCAAACTGCAACAAAAAAATAGCCGGGCCTTGTGACTGGCGTCTGTATTCCCAGCTACCTGGGAGGCTGAGGCAAGAGAATCGCCTAAGCCCAAGAGCTGGAGGTTGCTGTGAGCTGTGATGCCACAGCACTCTATTAAGGACAACAAAGTGAGACTCTGTCTCTAAAACAAACAAACAAACAAAAAAAAACAGAGTAGGACCACCCAAGGGACTGTAACAAACTGGCCAATACAGAGATGGTCAACATAAGGAACATCAGACCATACTGATATGTACCATTGATGCCTATCATGTCTATGAAAATTAGGTCAACTTAAGGAGGTGGTCAATGTAGGAAAGTGGTCAACAATGGAGGTTCTACTACTATACAAGGGAAGCACGAAAAGAAAAATTCTATCTCAAAATATTGGTAGCTGGAAAAATACTAAATTTCTGGTCTAATATGCTAAGAGTCTCTATTGAGCAAAAATGAGTACTTACTTGAATTAGGGGGCCAGGACTCCCGGTATTCACTACCTGCTTGAGTTCTGGGTGACTTGCCCCGGACCTGGCAAGCCACACAAAAATCGCAAGAGTTATGATCAACGGGAGAACTTAAACGAGAAATTTAAATCATAAAACTATACCTAAAATATATACTTTCCTGTGACTTTCTACAGTATATAAAATTGAATATATTATCCTAACAATAATAATTTACATGTATTGTAAGTCTTGTAATTTCCAGTTCATTTTCCATGTATCGTCCAGTGCTAAACACATTCACAAGGTAGGGGAGAGAGGAATAAATAGCGGAGACCCTGGTGGGATTAAGAGCCACAATTCCAGCCTGGGTGCCATGGCTCTTGCCTGAAATCCCAGCACTCTGGCAGGCCAAAGTGGGAGGATCATTTGACCCCAGGAGTTCTAGACCAGCCTGAGCAAGAGTAGACCCCGTCTCTACAAAAAATAGAAAAGTTAGCTGGATGTGGTGGCACACACCTGTAGTCTCAGCTACTCAAGGAGGCTGAGGCAGGAGGATCGCTTGAGCCCAGGAGTTTGAGGTTGCAGTGAGCTATCATGACGCCACTGCACTCTACCCAGGGTGACAAAGTAAGACCCTGTCTCAAGAACGAAAAAAAAGAACCAAAGTTCCTTACACAGCTACATAGTTACCGGGAGCAAGGCTGCCCATGAACTCTTTGCCTCGACTGTCCTACTATGAATAGTCAGCTCCCTTGAGTGGAAAGCCAAAGTGAAAGGCAAGCGTAACCTTCAGCAGGGTCTTGCGTCTTTTAATACTGCCTTCATCTAAACGAAAATTCTTAACCCTCAGCTTCCTCGCCCTCAGAGAGACACCACAGCCAGAGGATTACCTTTCTCTCCTGCTTCTTCTGGGTTTCCATGACATGCAGGCGCTCCATGAGGCTGGAGATGCCCTGCTCCAGGCTGTCAATGGTGTGGTGCTGAGGGTCATGGCCGCTGAAGCTGTTTCGCAGACTGCGCAGAGCATCTCGAACAAGCTGCAGGTCGCTGGTCTACGGGCAAAAATAAGGTGCTGCAGGCCTGACACAGCACATATGAAACACATCCCAGCTGCTAGGCATAAGAGGACATAGGACAGAGGTTGCCATAATACATCTTTAATTTTTGTGAAGGTTATAAACGGTAGAAATTTTCCTCCACCAAAAAGGAGGAAACTCATCTTCTACTACTACTGTTTACACACTAATTCATTTTTTTTTTTTTTGAGACAATCTCACTGTGTTACCCTGGGTAGAGTGCTGTGGCATCATCATAGCTCATAGCAACCTCAAACTCTTGGGCACAAGAGATCCTCTTGCCTCAAGCCTCCTGAGTAGCTGGAACTATAGGTGCCTACCACGACTCCTGGCTAGTTTTTCTATTTTTGGTAGAGACAGGGTCTTGCTCTTGCTCATGCCTTTCCAGAATGCTAGGATTGCAGGTGTGAGCCACCACAGCAGAATACCCACTAATTCTTAACTTTGGATACCAAGTGCCTCATACATCTTTACACACTCGACAGATACAATTATTAAGAAACTGTACAAAAGGTGCAGTCGACTGGCAATGGCTCTGACTGTCTTCTGGTTTCAGCTGACAGAGGCAAGTCTGTACTCATACCCAGCCACCTACCCCTCTGTGAGTGACTGAAGCAGCTCCTTGTCCTGCCACGGGAAGGAGAAAACCATTGCTTTGAGAGTTGTGACTGTTGTAGTTGGTCACCTACAACAGCATGAAGAAAAATTGCTTGTTAAACCAAGATGTCTTATTTTTATTCTTCTCTTTCTCTCTTGTTTTTTTTTTTTTGTTTGTTTGTTTGTTTGGTCGGTTGGTTGGTTGGTTTGGTTTGGTTTTTGAGATAAATCTTTACTCTGTCCCCCTGGCTAGCTGACTAGATACCCTGGCCATCATCATAGCTCACTGCAACCTCAAACTCCTGGACTCAACTGAGTCTCTGCCTCTGACTCTTGAGTAGCTGGGACTTCAGGTGAGCACCACCATGCCTGACTACTTTGTTTTTTCTACTTTTTGTAAAGATCCTCCCAGAGTGCTAGAATTACAGGCCAGAGCCATTGCACCCAGCCTTATTTTTCTTCTTTACATTTTTTTTTTTTTTGAGACAGAGACTCAAGCTGTCCCCCTGGGTAGAGTGCTGTGGCATCACAGCTCACAGCAACCTCCAACTCCTGGGCTCCAGCGAGTCTCCTGCCTCAGCCTCCCAAATAGCTGGGATCACAGGCGCCCGCCACAACGCCCAGCTATTTTTTGGTTGCAGCCGTCCCGGGCTGGATTCAATCCCACCACCTTAGGTGTATGTGGCTGGCGCCTTAGCCACTTGAGCCACAGGCGCCGAGCCATTCTTCTTTACATTTATCACTTTCTGCCACAGTATATAAGTATTTATTTGCTTAATGGCTCTCTCTATTAAAGTGTATCCTTCCTAAGTGTAAGTTTTTTCCCTTTTGTTTGATGCTGTATCCCCAGCACATGGGACTTAGGCGGGATTGTTGAATGTGGGATGAATGAAATGATAACCTGAGCCTGGAGGCCTCAACCTAGGCTCTGCCATGGCCACAGGAGGGCCTCAGAATGCTCCTCTGGCACCATCTGCCTTTGCCTTATAATAAAAGAAATAGTGGCAATATTGTTTGAGCCTGACTCTGTGTCAAATGAATCTAACAGAGCAGCATTTAGTTTTTTATGTACATTGTCTTATATGGTCTTCATGAGGAAGACTGGGTCACTATTATTTCCATTTTCCAGATGGCTCAGTAGCTAAGCCTCTTACAGTCACATCAGTGTAGAAGTTGTAAAGCTGAGATTCCAAACCAGATTTTCTTATCCTGGAACCTGAAATCTTAACTCCCTCAAACTATAGCCTCCCAACAAAGAAGCCTGTGGCCTTGGTTCAGCTAAGTCAGAAATACAACTTCCCCATTTGTCTCATAAACGTGGGAGGGAGAACCCAAGTTCTAGTTTACCTCCTCTGCCTCTCTTTTCATACAGTGAGCCAAAAGGACATCTTTGTGTTCCAGCTCCCGCTCTAGGTCCACCTGCAAAACAGAGGCTACATTGGAAAAGGATCTCTGCAGGCCAAAGGGGCAGGAAAGTCCGTGGCTGAGTATGTTCCCACCTGGTGGTAACTGGCATCAGAGAGTTTCCGGAGTGCTTCTTCTAGCTTGGCCTGGTGCTGCTGCAGGAGGCGGTCCTTCTGCCCCAGCTCTTTCTGCAACAGAGAGAGAGCTAGTCCATGTGTGGCAAAAACAAGGCCACGGGATCATTCACCTGCAACACAGTTCCACGCGAGTAAAGGAGAGCTGCAGAGGCAACAACCCTGTCCTCAAGATAGATCAGGAAGACTTTAAACAACGTAACAGTCTTACACAGTGCAAAGGATTTGGGGAAAGGTACAAAGGAAGGGAACTACCATTTGTAGGAGGACCGCTATGACCCATCCCTACATGTAAAGAGGGAAAGGTACGATTAGAACTAAAGTTTCTGCTGTGCTCCTTGTACTAGCTGTGCTATTCTTTTTTGTCATTGTGTTTATTTTTTTGTTTTTTGTTCTTTGGGGGTTTTTTTTTGAGACAGAGTCTCACTCTGTTGCCCTGGTTAGGAGTGCCACAGTGTCATAGCTCACAGCAACCTCAAACTCCTGGGTCCAAGTGATTTTCCTGCCTCAGCCTCCTGAGAAGCTGGGACTTCAGGGGCCTGACCCTATATGCCTGGCTAGATTTTTCTATTCTTATTAGAGATAAGGTCTCTCTTGCTCAAGCTGGTCTCAAACTCCTAAATGTAAGCAATCCACCCACTTTGGCTTCCCAGAGGCTGTCTATTCCTTAGCTCTAGTGAATCAGGGACAAAGAAAAAGTTTCCCTTCCAGAAAGTAAAGGTAAGAATAAAATACTAAAGTACTCTTTGCACAACAGCAACAATAGCCTGTTTATCAACATTCAGATGAACGTCATTTCCAAACCAATACTCATTCTCACTTTATATTCTCCCAAGAGCCGGTTCCTCTCATCTAGCTTCCGCTGCAAATCCACCTGCAAAGATAAGGAAATTCACTGGCATGAGGTATTGTCTACCAGTTCTCAAGGAAGAACCTTGTTAATGTTGGCAGTTAGGGTGGCACACAGCACAGAGAGAGCATGGTCATGGTCAAATACACAGCTGTACTCCATGTCTTTAGTCAAATAATCACCATAGAACCGTGATTTTGCCTCAGTGTCCTCAAAGCTGAAGAAGAGCTCAGGGACCTTCTTACCCAGCATGGTATGTGCTTTACTGAGGAAAGAGATGAGTCTAATGGGGGATAAACGTAACTGCAGGCACTCAGGGCAGGCTCCCCAGCAGCAAGGTAAACGAGATGAGGACGGCAAATCTCGCAGCACTCCATGCAGTATGCCATCCTGCTAATGGGGCTCAGTGAGGTCAGAGTTCATGCATTGAACTCACATTCTGGTTGTGTAGCTCATCTTTGTCCATGTTTGCCCTTAGCAGTTCTTGTTTGAGCTGAAGAACAGATGAGTCCTGCTGAGTCAACCTCTGCTGCAAAGCATCCTGGGGGGGAAATGTAGACTCATTATTGCGGTCTCAATTTTTGGGGGGGTTTTGTTTTTTCTCTTGCTCTGTTGCCCTGGGTAGAATACAGTGGGTGTCATCACAGCTCACTGCAACCTCAAACCCCTAAGCTCAAGTGATCCTCCTGCCTAAGCCTCCTAAGAAGCTGAGGCTACTGGTGCATGCCACACACTCAGGTACTTTTTCTATTTTTTAAACTCCTGGTCTCAAATGATCCTCCCAGCTCAGCCTCCAAAAGTGCTAAGATCACAGGCGTAAGCCACCGTGCCCAGCTCACGGTCTTGATGAATCTATCGGCCAATTATATACATCTTTCACTGTGTGCCCAACATTGTTCTGTCAACTGGGAGACCAAAGGAATGTAAGGTTCTTGCCACAAGTTGCTGACCAGGGGTTTTCTTGTCCCCCTCTAGGACACTAGCATATCAAGAGAAATCCTAACCAAGCTGAATGCAATTTGATGTTTCCTCCACCTACTACTTAGCCCTACCCTGCACTTCACTACCAACATCATGGTGTCTAGGGAGAGAATGAGCAGGCTTTTGGATCAGATAGACCTACATTCAAATTACGAGTCTGCCACTTACTACATTTGTGACACTGACCTTGGAAAATGTGCTCTCCTTCCTCTCTCTCTGGCTTTCTATCTATATCTTAGGCATATGGATACTCAGTCTGAATTAGCTCTTTTTCCTCTACCTCTGTGCTCAGTCCCCATGTCCTAGAGCCGTGGTTCTCAACCTTCCTAATGCCCTGAGTTGTTACCAATTGAACAAAGCGGGCACGACTCACAGGTTGAGGACCGCTGTCCTAGAGGGATGGGCCCTATTCCTGCTCACCTCTCTGTTCATGAAGAATCCCTGGGAGCTCCCACTCTGGCCTTCAGAGCCTCCTGCTGACCTGCTTCCATCAGTTTCCAATGCTTAGTCTGGACTGGGCTTGGGATTGTATTTCCCACTACTCAGGATTGTTCTTGGACTGATGGTTCCTCTTCCTAATTTCCTAGGATCTTGCCAGCTTTAGACTACCTTTCCCTCAGCTTGAACCCTCATACCTATAATCTTAGTACTCTAGGAGGCTAAGACAGGAGGATCACTTGAGGTCAGGAGTTCACGACCAGCTTGAGCAAGAACAAAAAATACCAAAATCGGGCAGGTGGGATGCCATGCACTTTTAGTCCCAGTGCACTTGTAGTCCCAGGAGGCTAAGGCAGGAAGATCACACATAAGCCCAGGAAGTTGAGACTACAGTGAACTATGATGATGCCACTGCACTCTAGCCTGGGTGACAGAGCTAGACTCTGTCTCAGAAAAAGAAAAAATAGGCTCGGTGCCCATACCTCAATGGTTAGGGCACCAGCCACATACACCAGGGCTGGCGGGTTCAAGCCTGTTAAACAACAATGACAACAGCAATATAAACAGAGCGGGGCACTGTGGTGGGCGCCTGTAGTCCCAGCTCCTTGGGAGGCTGAGGCAAGAAAATCGCTTAAGCCGAAGAGTTTGAGGTTGCTGTGAGCTGTGGTGCCACAGCAGTCTACCGAGGGTGACATAGTGAGACTCTGTCTCAAAAAAAAAGAGAAAAAATACAAAGAAAAAGAAGGCTTGATATATTTACGTATAGGGTCCAGCTATAACACATTACTACATCAACCACAGTGACTTCAAATGGAAATAATGGACTGGGGAGGCATTCCATATTTGTTCTGATTTTTCTCTCTTTATAGATCACAAAGAAATAGTGCAGACTCTGGAGAATGTGGGTGCTCATTCTTAATTATGCCATCTGGTATGATGGTACATGACAAAGGTAGTCTAAGATGTCCTTGGCATTAGTAGTTTAGAGGAATATTTCCCAGGGAGGGCTCCCCAGGATGGTCGATAATGAGTTCCACATAATTCTAAACTTTTCTTCAGCCAACCTCTTGGTGACAGGCCTCAGATCCTTTAACATGTTACTGTTCACTAGGACTCTTCAAGCCTAGGGCATTTCTCAAACTTATCTGACCCTGGAATACTCTTGTTTTCTGAACTATTTCAAAAGCACTAAGCCTACAGAGTACATTTTGGAAAACACTGCCGAGTTATACGCTAGTTTAGCCTATGAATAGGTGTAGAGGGAAGAGGGAAGAGGGGAAAGGCAACAGTTTAAGAAGATCCTCTTCTCCTCTGAGGTGTTTATTCAGCAGATATGCTCCCACTTAGGTGAACCACATACGTTCATGCTTGTTGGTTAGACCCCTGTTTATATTAGAAAAGACTGTCAATAACCTAAAATGCCTTCAAGAAGATATATCTCATATATGATAATTGGTTTAATCTGCATATGTGGTGGGAGAAAAGTAATATACACACATACTTGCCGATAACTGATAAATTACCTTCAGGAAAGAGAACGGGGTGAATGGGGGAGACAGGGCCAGTAGGCTGACTTTTCTCAGTTTATCCTTTCATGCCTTAATTTGGTGGTGCTGCTGTTTTTATTTTTTTGTTTTTATTAAATCGTAACTGTGTACATTGATGCATTTATGTGGGTCAGTGTACAGATTTCACATGCACTGTGAAATGTTTAACATTGAACAGATTAACACATCCGTCACAATTATACTCTTTTCTTAACAGTTTTGAAATGCCTTTAAACCACTTGAGTGTTGCTTATGATTTTTTAAAAGGAACATTTGAACTGAAGAGGAATATTTGATAAACAGTCAGTCGAGTTGGCACAGAGGGAAGTGGCAACAGCATGAGTCGCGAATACTAGAAATACTCCTCAGCAAAAGAGAGGTGTATTCCTGAAAGTCTCACTTCCCTCCCACCAAGTCCTTTCTTTCCCAGTAGCACAAAGCCCGTTACAGGCCCCCAGAAAATCTCAACCATGCTAGTACCCAATCCTCCCCACTCACCCATAGACTACTTTATCTAATGAGACTTTAAAGAATTAAATGTCTTTTCCTTTTTACCTTTATCCCCTGTAAGTTTCTGGCTTCTTGTTTACATTTCAGCAGCTCTTTCTGCAACCAAATATAGTTAGATCAGATGGTGGCATCTGGGTTGCTTCAGAAAGCATTACCTCATTCTGTTAGCAAGAAGACAAAACCCAGTTCATCATTCCATGAAAAATTAACCCTCTGAGGCAGAAAGCAGGTCTGGTCCAGTGCGCAGTAAAGGCTGATCCGTACACACAAGAACAGAACCCATTCCATTGTGCCCGGTGGCACCCAGGCTCAACTGCCCAGTTATAGAAGAATCTTGTCAAAAAGATACGGTTGTAGAAGCTCTTGCTTCTGTGTTTAGCGATCTTCTCTATCAGGAAAACCTAATATAATAACCTAATCATAATAATCTACATCCCTTTCAATGAAATATGTGATCGTATTTAAATAGGCCTACCCCCAATGTCATTAAACAATTACCTCAGCATTTTTCCCTTTTAGAGATAGGGTCTTGCTCTGTCTCCCAGGCTAGAGTGCAGTAACACAAGCATAGAACTCCTGGGCTCAAGTGATTCTCCCACCTCAGCCTCCCAAGTATCTGGGATTGTAGGCACAAGCCACTGCACCCAGCTTAATTATCTCAGTTCTTAGTGCTCATTAAAGGGCTGGAGAACTTCTGATTCTCCAAGAGGGTACTATTCTCTGTGGACCAAACAAAAACACCGTTAGCCTAATAATAAAGTACTAATTAACCTTCCCTTACAATAGATAAAAGTATCTGTATGATTGTCACTAGGAAATAGATTTTAGAAGGGGAATACACATAACTCAGACTCCAATCTCTTTTTTCCTTATTGCATCTCATAAAGAGTTTAAAATTAACATATCTAAAATGGGGATGCTTAACTTGGACTCTACAGATGGGTCCAAGAGTAGCTCTATTAAAAATTCAGGTCTGTGAGTGTGAGTGCATCCCATTTGCATATTTCTAGGAAAGAGGGTTTATGCCTTCAGTCAGACACTTACCGACCTAAAGGAGTTCTAGGAAGTGTCCATTAAAAAAGACCACACTGAAAGCAGATCCATTTTTTTTCTTGTAATTAAAAAAGAAAAACTATAAACTATTTCTAACCTATAGAAAAGTATGATCAATAATGACACACATGGCTTGGTGCCTGTGGCTCAAGTGGCTAAGGCGCCAGCCACATACACCTAAGGTGGCGAGTTCGAATCCAGCCTGGGCCCGCCAAACAACAATGATGGCTGCAACCAAAAAATAGCCGGGTGTTGTGGCGGGCGCCTGTGGTCCCAGCTACTTGGGAGGCTGAGGCAGGAGACTCGCTTGAGCCCAGGAGTTGGAGGTTGCTGTGAACTGTGATGCCACGGCACTCTACCCAGGGTGACAGCTTGAGGTTCTGTCTCAAAAAAAAATAATAATGATAATGACACACATACCTATGACCCAGCACCAAGATTAAGAAGGTGTTATCTTCATGACATATTTGAGGTATAGCTCTCTCTTTCAATTAAAGATATAATACACATACAGATACATATAACATTCCAATTCTGAAATCCCCTTCCTTCCTGAAGTTGGGTGTTAACATATCCATAATTTTTTTCAAAGGTAAAATGTACATACCTTTAGGTCCTGGTTCTCCTCCACACTCTGATCCAGACGACTCTGGATTATAATCTGAACATGAGATAAAAAGAGCTGGTTGTGCACCCATGCTGTGAAGTTCAGAGGCCACTCATTCAGTATCTACTAAGCACCTACTAAATGCCAGCTCTCAACTGTGGATACGAAGAATAGGAAACACTTCCTGGCCACAGATGACTCTTGGTACTGGTGCAGCGAGTGCATCTACTTGATAAAGCTTACAGTATATGTGGGATGCAGAGGATGGGGTGAAGGGAAGAAGAAATGGAAAGAGATGAAATTGGAGACGAAAATAGAGGCCTGATCATGAAGGGCCAGTGAGGGCAATGGAGACTTGAAAATGAAATGAGAAGTTTCACGTATAAGGATAACAAATGAAGTTTGTCTTTAAGGTAAATTATTCTTGCTGTTTGACAGAAAATGAATTAGAAGAAGACAGGAAAGGAATCAGGAAAATCAGTGAGATGATAACCAGGATACTAAATGAAGGCCTGAATTAAATGGTTGTGAGAACGGAGAAAATTGGACAAAGACGTTAGAAATGTAAACCGATAAAACACGGTGACTGGATGGAGGGGGAAGAGTCAGAAAGGATTCGAGGATGGTACCCAGATTTCTGCTTGGGGCATTTGGGAATCCAAAACAGATATCCAAAAGAACAAGGAGTTTTAGTGGTTGGGCAGAGAACAGACAAACTTTATCTTAGGAGTTAGTGAAACTGAGGTGTTTATGGGACTCGTAAACAGGAGATAACCAGCAGGCAGCTGCACGTTCCTTTTACAAATCCAGGACTCCACAGGAGGAGTTGAGACGCGGGTAGGAAATAAGTGAACATATGGAGGCACATGATACTGCCCAGGTGAACGGACAAGAGAGGGCCCAGGGTGGACTACTAAGGAGCAAAAATATTAAAGGTATAGGCAGAGAAAGGAAAGCTTCCAATGAGGACTTGGATGTCAATCCCATGAGATAGGGTCTTAGGTCTGCTTAGTCACTACCCTGTCTCTAGCACATTGAATAGTGCCTGGCGTACGGTCAGCACTCAGTATTCTAAATGAAGAAAGAAGGAAACAGTAGTCAAAAACATAGGAGAAAGCCAGGCATGGTGGCTGACTCCTGTAATCCAAGACAGGAGGATCACGTGAGCTCAGGAATTCAAGACCAGCTTAAGCAAGAATAAGATAATAGAAAAAAAACTAGCCAGGCATCATGTTTACAGCTACTTGGTAGACTGAGGCAGATGGATCACCTGAACCTACATGTTTGAGGTTGTTATGAGCGAGGCTGATGCCAGGGCACTCTAGCTTAGGCAACAAAGTGAGACAGAGTCTCAACCTGTCGCCCTGCGTAGAGTGCCCTGGCCATCATAGCTCGCAGCAACCTCCAACACCAGCTCAAGCGATCCTTTTGCCTCAGTTTTTCTATTTTTAGTAGAGACAGGGTCTCACTTTTGCTCAGGTTGGTCTCGAACTTGTGAGCTCAAGCAATCCACCAGCTTCTGCTTCCCAGAGTGCTCGGATTACAGGTGTGAGCCACCATGCTCGGCCAAAAAAAAAAATCATTTTAAAAAAATGAAGGAAAAACAGAACTGGAGTCAGGGAGCTATGGATAGCATGTCAAATGCTAAAAATAAGTCAAACACATAGGCAAGATTCAGTGTCTAGTCACGAAAGATGGAAGCTCACCAGCTGTTCCTCTGGATTGACTCCTGGTTGACAAAGGGCCAACGGCCGCTCCTGTTCATCTTCAGGTAAGGATCCATTGAGTAGTAAGGCCTGAATAACCAACAAAGGCAGAAAGGAACTTAATTCCCCATAAGACGAACTTAGTCTAGAGTTGGACTTAGCAAGCTCATCCTAAATTGAAATCACAACCCAGCTTCCTCAAGAAAACTCCTTGGTTATTTGCTCCTCAGATACTTCCAATTGTTCATCTTGGGATTAGTTCCTTCTGTCCTTTTTGCCAGGTCAATGCTAGGCCTCTTTCAACTCTCTGGATACCTGACTCCTTTGCTTCAAGCCTCCTTGGCCCAAGGAGGACATTTAAAAACAAACCTTCCTTTCAGAAGTAACCAAACACATTTCAAATTGGAGCTCTTTAAACTAAATTTTAGCAGCTGAAAAGTAATCCAAAAGCATGGGATTATCCTGGCTTAGAAAAGTATATTATAATGAATTATCTGGAATACATTTAGAGCACTGAGTTAATAATTGTGGATTTTTACTCCCTAAGGCAACTTGTATAGAACAAGAAGGAAAACATATTTGAAGATGTCCTCATTTATTTCAGCTCTTGTCACCAGTCTGCTTTTATTAGAATATTAGTAAGTAGGGGAGGCAGATTTACCCTGAAGCTAAGGAAGCGCCAGAGCCTACTGTGTGCACTGCCCCTCCCAAGGCCCTATACCCAAAATTGTATTTATAATTTTGTAATTTTATTCTTAAAGAAGGCCCCTAAATTATATACTTTAGGTCTCACAAAACTTGGATCAGCCCCTGTAGGTAAGTGTTATGAGACCTATTCGATCAGTGAAACACTGAAAATGTGCCATTTTATACCATAATTCCGTCTCAATTTGAAAGAGAAGTGTTAAGAGAGATTAATTCCTGTTTCAAAAAACGCAACACAAATTCATCATCGATGTTGGCAGAAAACATTTTAAAATCTAGCCAATGGCTGATTTACCAAACACTAATAATAAAATTTCGGTAAATCAAATGAATTCGGCTATTTCACCAGGTCATAACAAGAGGTTCGGACATGTTATAAGAAGCCACGGGGCTGCAGGAGGCTAAGGGCAGTCAACATTTACAGAAACATTGACTCTAACTAAAGCACACTAATAAGTCAGATGTCCTGGATGTGGCAAAGCGTGCAACTAGTTCATCACTAAAAGCGTTAAGAAGCCTTGTGGATGCTGTGAGCCCCTTTGTATTCTACAATGGAACTGAATTCTCATTGTGATCATGTGGCTGTGAATTAAAACTCCTCTGTTTGCAGGGAATATTAAGATGCTGACTTTCTGCCTGTCAGTTCTCCTCTTTTTCTGTCTAATCTGCCATCAAATTTCTCCCAGACTAAGAAACGAAAACTAAACGGAGAGCCAAACTGATTAGTATCTATTTCCATATAATGCAAATTATCCTGGGCACAACCTGGTTGGGTATAATCCCAAAGTTTTCCCTGGCATACTTCCTATTAAAAGCACAACACACGCACACATTCCATTAAGCAAAGGGGGGAACCAACAACTTTCTTTGGGAATGTTGAGGCAGGAAACATTCCTCCAACCCTTCTCAATTCCTGAGGCATACATTATGCAAATTGTTTTACCCCAGCACCAATCTTTTTTCTGTAGGATCCCTTTGTGTCCCCACCCAGTTGCTGGCTGGCTGGGAGCACGCCCTCCACCGCCTGCCGGCTGCCCGAACCACACACATAATGTGGGCTTTGTTTATATGTCCATAAATATTTGACAATTCAGAGGCAGTGCAGTTCCCAGTACAAACAGAAAGGAATATTCCTAGGCACTTTCAGGGTCACCGGCACACTATAAGAGCTCCCCCAAACAGAGACTGATGCATAAAGACAGAGGAATGAGAGGGTCGCTCGGGGTGGAAACTATGTCAAGTGGGTCAGCCAGTCCCTGGGGGAGATTTGCCGCGCTGGCACTGCAGGTATTGGAAAAACTGAAGGGCTTTGTTGCCCCAGGAAAGCTCTTCTACCTGATCATTATGCCACTTGCGAATGCATTAGGAGAGAGCTAAATCCCTTAGCTGGACTCAAATGGAAGCCTGGCAGCTTTACTGCCTCTCACACTCCTCCTGCTGGAGAGTTCCTGGGAGAAAAAGCCCTGACTTCACGGTGCCATTCTTTGGTGAAAGATGGAATTGCCTACAAGGTAGAAACCCACTTGTGAAGCACAGTCAGAATAAGGGTTTGATAGGGGCCGGTAATGGCTCCTGGGCTTGCTGAAATCCCAACAGCTGCACCATACATGAGACTTCCTAAAGGCCACTCAGAATACTCACAGATAGGGAATTTCCTGCTCTTTCTGTACTACGCCATCTATCAAAACTCCCCACTCAGTGCTGACCTCATACAAAACCAAAATCAGTTTATTTTCAATTGATATTAGTGACTTAAAAATAATAGTCCAGTAGCGTACCAAGGACAAACTCTAAGAGAAAGACCCACCTGGAGTCCTGATATCATTTTCTTTGCTTCCTCCATTTCTTTTTCCAAATGTTCTTGTTGTTCTAACAGCTGTTCTTCCCATGAGGTCTCCAGATAGGCTCCGGGGCTCGCTGGCCGCCAGTCTCGAGATAATGGAGAATCTGTTTCTTCTGCAAAATGAAAGTAGGGAGGACAGTTCATGCTGAACAAACTGATTTCAGGCAGAAAGCGGCCTCAGGTTCGCGTTCCCAGGTTCAGGCCACCTGCCTTCTGAACCTGTCCTCACAGCACAAACTGGACTCTCCACCAGGTGGGGTTGTGAGGCAGAAAGAACTGGCTGTTTGACTCCCAGCCAAAGCAGCATCACTTACTTGCTAGAAAAATCTGTCCTCTTTAAAACCCTTAAGAAGCAGTAAGTCTTCCTCCATGGGAAGTGTGGCATGGGACACACAGATTTTACTCTTAATTCTCTACAACTGGCATTTCCAGAGCCTGATTTTATCAGTTACAAAGAAAGGAGCTACCAGATGCAAAGAAAACAAAATTCCTATTGGTTATTTTGGAGCTTTAGAGGGGAGGCCTTAATTCAATTTTCCTTTGACCATTCAGTCATCGTTGAACCAACTCCATAGAGAACGCTGTGTGAGTCACACAGGAGACAAACCAGTAAAAGCATACTTGCACAAACCATTAAATATCTGCCCCCGGCTTTGTTTCATCCTCCTCCCTTTAAGATCTCTTTGCTGTAGCTTCTTTGTCTCCCTATGTTATACTAATTAATATGCACAGCCATTTAAATGCATTATAATTTATAATACACAAGGATATGAATTCTTTAAGTTTCTTCATTCATAATCTAAGTATAATAATCCCTGTGGGTTATTATGAAGATTAAATGAAGTGACATGTATAGGGCCCAGAGCAACACTAAATCAATGTCCCCCCGACCTCTTGCTCCCCAAGGCCCAAGAAGTTTCTGACTCGGTAACATGGCTGACTCTTTGGTGCTAATGCCAGGGTTAGAGAGGGAGCACAGGAAGGATGAATTGAATTCCAGTTTTTCTTCTGAGGGCTTTGATTTAATCACAACACTTACAGGTGAATAAAATTCTAGCTAACTCTTGGGCTTTGATTTTTCCATGTTTCCTCTAAGTTTATGTAAGAGAAAAGAACAATTGAGGGAGAGTGGGGAGAAGCCTGAACAAAGGGAAGTTTCTGTGGTTATTTCTATAGCTTCATAACAAGACCAAGCGAGGCCCATTTTCTACTGCATGTTCCCAAAGACACGTCATACAATCTATTCGTGGCCCCAATTTAAGTTGGGGAAGTATTGAAATCATTTGTATAAAGCAGAATTAATAAAATTTTTTACTTGAGTAAGGTTCCCAAAGTCACTTCCCAATTCACAGGCAGCCAGCTGAGAAAGGGTTTGTTTACAGTACTGCAAGATTCTTTTGAGACAGAATCTCACTCTGTCACCCTGGGTAGAGTGCCGTAGTGTCATTGCTCACAGCAACCTCAAACTCCCGGGTTCAAGCGATCCTCGAGCCTTAACCTTCTGAGTAGCTGCAATTACAGGCACCCGCCACCAGGCCCAGCTAGTTTTTCTATTTTAAGTAGCGACAGGGTCTTACTCTTGCTCAGACTGGTCTCAAACTCCTGAGCTCAAGCAATCTACCTGTCTTAGCCTCCCAAAGTGCTAGGATTATAGGCATGAGCCACCATGCCCCGCCTACTCCAAGATTTTTAATACTAGGACATCTAGAATATCAGAAATTACATTCTGCAAGAGGATAACCAATTAATTGGCTCAAAGGCATTACAGCCCTCTAGTGCTGACCTTGCATGCACAGACTACAGTGAGGGAGAAGGTCAGGGAGCTTACAGGGAGTCAGGACCTCTAAACTCTTCAAGCTGAGGGCTGCTCCTTACACCAACCCAGAGAGGCAGTGAAACAGTACCTGTTTTGTTCTCTATTCCTTCAGAAGGAATAATCACGAAGTCCACCTTCTCTTCTGACTGGGTTATAATGGATTCACTCTTTGCACTGTGGATTGGACTGGGTGAGGTCAAGCTGTGATTGAAGAAAAAGGAGAGAACAATTATTATGAAGAGTTGTTTGGAAGCCGACTTTCAAAATTCACCCCAGAGAAGAATGACATGTTCTGACTCATCTTACTCCATGCCTCACATAGTACCTGGGCTACAGGAAAAAAAAATATTTGTTTAATCAAGACCTTCTCTAAGGAATTAAATGAATATTGAATGAACAAATGGCCCAGTGCTGGGATCCTTTCTACAACAAGGATACCTACCTTTAGGCCTAATTCGCTGAGAAAAGACTTACGGGTAATTTTTGGTTTTTATTTCCCATTCCCTCTATCACCACCATTCCCGAGCCCATATTCAAGGACTGAGGCCAGTATGTATCTTAATAGCTTTTGGAGCTAGAAGGAAATTCTATTTCCAGTACATTGATTTCTCACAGATATAAGCAATACAAGCAGAATGATCATCAATAATTAGCTCTGGGCTGATCCTGAAGGAAAGGACAGGAGAAGGGGTGGTTCAGGGAACAGGGTTGCTGGGGCAGTGATACCTCACAAGGAAGCTAGAACATGATAAAGACAAGGGTAGTAAGTCAAAATGGGACAGCCCCCCTAAGGAATGGCAAAGGTTTACTTGGGTTTTTCCCATCAAAAAGCTATTTATATTTCTGCCACCAGATTTTCAAATTGGCATCAGGCACCTCTCAACAATTCTTAAGATATAACTACTGGCTCGGCGTCTGTGGCTCAAGTGTAAGGCACCAGCCATGTATACCCAAGGTGGCAGGTTCGAATCCAGCCGGGGCCCGCCAAACAACAATGACGGCTGCAACCAAAAAATAGCCGGGTGTTGTGGCAGGCGCCTGTGGTCCCAGCTACTTGGGAGGCTGAAGCAAGAGACTCGCTTGAGCCCAGGAGTTGGAGGTTGCTGTGAGCTGTGATGCCAGCACTCTACCCAGGGGGATAGCTTGAGGCTCTGTCTCAAAAAAAAAAAAAAAAAAAGATATAACTACCAGCCTTGGAAGTAAATGTTCAGATTTTCAGGGAAACAGAATTTTAAATGTCTAGAACAACAGCAAATCTACAAGATAAGAGGGGAATGTGAGGCTGATGCTTCCATCTGATAGAGAAAAAGGGAGGCTGAAGGATCAGTTCCTTTGTGCCGCACCTTGAGAACATCAGCACTGAAACAATCTCAGGGACTGTTGGGTCTCAGGGCCCAGCCCCCCTCTCAGGAATTCTTTCCAAATCCATCACCCAGACAACAGTGCAAGTGTCGAAGATTCACTGACCCACTTAATGTGCCCCTGAAGCCTCCCAGGCTAATCCTCACAACCTCGATCAGGAGTTAACATTTTGTCTTCCTAGAAATCAGTAAAAAACAAGAACCAAGAACAGTGGAGACAGCCAGGGATTTCAAAACCTGGGATGCAGCCCGAGGACCAGTGTCTCACCCTCCCTGTTGTCCCGAATTTCAGGGTCTTGGTGGGAACGACCTCCGGTCAGAGCCACAGAAAAAAATTCAAAGTTGTTTGCTACTTCAAATTAAAGAAACCATATCTGTAGACCAGGCAAGAGAGGCCAGGGGTGGTAAGAAGTGATATTCACAAGTGGCAATTGCTTTCTAGATCTCCATTATTAATCTTTCACCACTTAGACAATCTGGCCTCCAGGCCAACATGACTTAGCTGCTGGAAAAGCTGTCATCTAAGGGTACTATGTCACTCATAAGGAACATAGACTTGTGACTGCCCAGGCCCCAGCCTTTACCTTCTTACAGAAATGAGACTCTAAGTACAGAAAGAAGCCTGTGATGGCTGTTTCCCTTTGAGAAATAATAAAACAACACTTTCTCATCTGACAGGGTGCTATGGATGACATGTTCCTGCATTTGCTGGGTACGTGTGAGACGGAGGTGGGGGGAAGAGTCCTGGGAACCAAGGATGCTGGAAACTGCTTTCCTAAAAGCATAGAGCATGCTCAGCTCCACCTTCTCCCTCCTAAGAGAGCCCTGTCCCATATATGGGCAGAAGGAGGTGGATGTCTGGATACCCAACCCCACTGGGGGAGTGGCACAGCAACCAAAGAAAAACAACATTTCTCTTCTTGAATCGAGGCTGCCTGTGTGAGGCCACGGAGAGATGAGACCCTGAACCTAGATGGCTAAGTCAAAAGACGAAAAACCGAGGGAAGGAAACTCCTGAAGCACGTGTCAGGCAGGCCTCCCTAAGAAGTACCTCGTGGGTGAGGGAAGAGCAGGTTTAATGCCCAGGTCAGAGAAAAGAAATGTAATGCTAATTAAGTATGCATATGACTGATTAGCTTAAAAGTCCTATTTTATAAACAATTCCCTATTTGACATCACAATCCTCTCTAAGGTTGGGGATGACTGATTACGAGTCAGGTGTGGACCGACCCATACATGTCTTACTTCCCACACGGTTTGCATCTCTCCCGCCTTATCAGACCAGCAAGCCCCCAGCAAAGATACTTCCAAATTAGGCTCAAATTAATTTTTCTAAATGGTTAACGGGCCATAAGGAAGAAACGCATCAAGTGTCCTCCCCTGGAAGAGACACCGACAGGGTAAAGGGCCACTCCTCCCTGCCCTGTGGTGGCTCCAGCTTCCTACCAGCGTATTTTACAGGGATAACCCCAGGCCAGCGCCCGCACAGCCCCCGTCCGTCTCTGGCCAACAGCATCCTCCAGTCCTGGTCCTGCTCCCACCCTGCCCCCACCCCCAAAGCCGGGGTGGCTTCCGCTCACCATTTGACTTGAGTCCCTCCCATGGTCCCCTCCTGGCTCCGGCTTCAGCAAGCCTGTGTTCCTGGGTGGAGCGGGAAGCTGAGAGTCACATCGCTCCCAAATTCGGGCATGTCTCCCCGCACTGGGGACCGAAGAACGACACTACTGGCAGGCCAACTAGCAGAGCTGCTCGCCCCGACCGCGGGAGAAAGTAAAAGGGCAGAGCAGGCGCCTCCGCCCCAGCGATGAGGATGCTCCGGGTGAGGAGCGCGCCGTCCGGGCCGCTCAGACCCTGCCGCAGCCTGGCCTGAGTGGAAGCCACCTCCCCTCGCAGGCGCCGCATCGCCCCGGCCGCGCGGCGGGCACCCCCCCTGACCGAGCCATCTCAACCCATCTCCGACCCGGAGGGAGGCTCCCGGGGCTCGGGCTGCGCGCGTGCGGACGATCCCGCTCCGCGCCGCCTCCGACCCCTCCCTCCCGCCTCCCCTGCCGCCCGCCCTCCCTCCCCTGCTGTCACACGCGGGCGGCAGCGCCGGGCTCCGACCCCAGCCGGCGCCCCGCGGGACGGCTCTGCGCAGAGGTAGGCACGGGCCAGGGCCGGAGGGCAACTGGGAGCCTCAGGCTAGGCAGGGAAGGGGCCGTGCGGGTCGGCGGAGTCACCAGGAGGGCTCCGGGGGTCCTGGGGCTGGAAGCCCGGCACGAGAAACGTCGCCTTCCTCCTCTGACCCCTCCCCTCCTGGACACGTAGGTCCGGACAGGTCTAGTCCGGAGAGGGCTCAGCCGGGCTCCGGAGGGAGGGGAAGGTTGTGGGGTGAAAACCGGCTGAACGCCCATCTCCTCCCACCTTCCCCTCCAGCGTTTCCGTTTTGTGTGTTTCTTTTTTCCCAACTGAGGATCATTTTGCTTGGCTACAGGAGGAGGCTGGTCGGAGCAACAGGCTGGCAGGGCTCCCTGAGCCCTCTCGAGGTGAGGGGGAAGGGAGGAGACACCAGGGGCGGTCTTTGGTGAGCCACGCTTCGGAGAGCCACTCTTTGTCCTGAGTGAGCCACATATGGGGTACCCAGGCCTGTGCATGGGCCACTGAGCCATTAGGTGGGCTCCCTGCTGGAGGGGTGGGGGCGACAGAAAGTGCCAGAACCTGCTGGGATCCTGATAGCCTTGAAAAGCTCGCTCCTTCCCTGGGGGCTCAGTGAAGAAAAGGCGGAGTAAAAACGGAGCGTGCCAAAGCCGCGGATGAGCAGTCGGCTTTCGAAGAAAATGACAAAATCAGGAAGGAGTGAAAAATGGATAGAGGAAAGCAAACTATTCTCTCTGACCCCTGTCCTAGAAAACTGTCACCATTAGCTCAGTGCAGTCTGATTTCCTCTGGGTCCCTCATTCACACGTTTCACACAGTCACAACGCCCCTCCCACCAGGTTCCTGCTTGGCAGGAGAGAAGCAGGTGCTCTCAGGAAGAAATCTAGACTCTGCTCCCCATCCCGGCTCTGGTGGGCACTGCCTGGCTGAGAAGAGTGAAAGGCCTGCAGACATGCAGGAAGCAATACATCTCATTATACAACAAAACGGCCTTTGAATCTGTGCCAAGTGATGGTCCAAGCAGCAACTGCGGAAGAAATGATTTAGATTCTGATTTAAAGTCCAACTACTGCTTGATGGATATGGTTCTCTCATGGTTGATGCAGATATCGCACAACTGGACAGAGGTGATCACTGTGCGACACTGTGAAGGTGCTGACTGCCACTGAATTGTAAACTTTACAATCTCGAATGGTTCATTTCATGTGAATTTTGTTAAAAAGCTCACCTAAGGAGTTCCATATGTCCTCAATACATTTAGGAATGGTCCATCAAAATAGAATGGAATTTCATGAGACAGAGAAATAAGAGGAAGAAAACAAAGCCTCATAAAATACATGTAACTCAAGGAACAATTAGCCTTAAATAGAGCAGACTATTCTGTGTGGAGTAGGAGAGGAAAGGTCATAAGAACATAAATATGATTCAGCACTGAAATGAAGTTAGTAAATAAGCTGACATAATCTGGGGACTGTTTATAGGAGCATGATTTACATGAGCCAGGAAAATAGTCTTTTTCTGCCACTATCCTTGGCATTGGCAAGGTTTTTATTAGAGCACTGTATCCTGTTTTGGTTTCTGCACTTCACTCTAAGGGATAGAAACAGCCTTTCAGCTACAGTCACAAACATCATTAGCTTACTCAAATGCATGCTAATCTGCCACAATTCCCAGCCCCATAAATGAAAGCTGGAAACACACTAATGCTCTCAGACAACTCTGCTCAATGTCCACTCTTGCTATGACTGTTTCTACAGCCTTCTCAGGCCATTACTTATAGTTACACTTCAGCTCAAGGACAGTACAACCGGACTGGCTGGTATCAACCCTGGCAGCCGATATGCGAATATCAGAACCACTGGGATGGGCCCAGACAGGTTCCGCATGCCCCCATGTGGTCACAGCTAAGCATTGGCCCTGGTACTCTGCACAGTTTGCATTTGTGGGGAATTCACCAGCACCCCGCCCTCACCTTCTGCCAGCACAAAACCACAAAGCGTTGCTAAGGGCTATGCCTGTAAAACCAAACATAAACTGAGGAGATAGAAAAGGCTTAGGTGCCTTATTGCTTTTGTGTTGCTACTTGAAAGTGAGAAGCCCCAAGAATTCCGTGTTCAGAGGCGACAATTACCTGGAGCAGCTAGATTCAGACGGTGACCTTTGTTGTCCTTCGTACTGCTGCACCAGGGCCCGCACGCTCCAGTATGGGTTCTCAATCTCCTCATCCATGCTGCTGTTCCTAAAGTCAGAGGCGGGGGTAGAGGGTGGCGTGGGGGAGGTGTGTTAGTCCTTCAGTTCAGATCAACTCAACAAGCACTGATAGACTGTCGCTTTGAACACTAGAGGTATCAAGATGACAAAGGCAAAGCCCATACCGCAAAGACACTTGAAACTAGTGAGGAAGGTGGACACAAGAACAAGTACAGGCTCAGCGCCTATAGCTCAACGGGCTAAGGCGCCAGCCACGTACACCTAAGGTGGCGGGTTCGAATCCCCAGCCCAGACCCGCCAAAACAACAATGACGGCTACAACCAAAAAATAGCCGGGCCGGGCGTTGTGGCGGGCGCCTGTGGTCCCAGCTACTTGGGAGGCAGAGGCAGGAGACTCGCTTGAGCCCAGGAGTTGGAGGTTGCTGTGAGCTGTAATGCCACGGCACTCTGCCCAGGCTCTGTCTCAAAAAAAAAAAAAAGAACAAGTACAGTAGTTGACTGGCTCCCTTCATTGACTACCTCCTTAAATTGACCTAATTTCCATAGACCAGACCATGTACCACATGTACATATCAGTACAGTAAGCCTAGTTCCTACATTGACCACCTCCGTATGTTCACCGGTTTGCTACAGTCCCTTGGGAGATCAATTGACAAGAGGTTCTACTGCAATTTCACCTGTCTTTGCAACACCCCACAAAACACTTCTTGCCATGACTCTCTAGGACCAGGCATCCTCAAACTATGGCCTGTGGGCCACATTTATCCAGCCTGCTGGGTGGTTTTGCCACCGCTGCCTGTCCTGCTTAGCAGCTGACTTGTCCAGGGGCCCGCAGTCCAGCCCTCCAACGGTCTGAGGGACAGTGAACTGGCCCCCTGTTTAAAAAGTTTGAGGACCCTTGATCTAGGACAGCTTGGCCTTTTGGATACATTCCGAGGGACTTCCCCAGATGACTGGAACATTATTCCCAATGTCTCCCAGTGAAGAAAACACACTGTGCCAAAAGCATGTATTTAAAATTTGGGCACCCAGAGCAAAAAGTTACACATAAGATTCCTTTACTTTCTGCTAACTGCAAAATAAGTATCTCCCCAAAAGTGCTCTTTTGCGAGCCCTCCCCAAACTCCACTCCATGTTCTTATCAAGGACTTCTTTGGGTGCTATTTCACATCTATAATTTATCACCTCAGAAAAGAAATATAGTTCAGCAAGCAGGATCAGCTCCAGTCCCCAGATTTTTTCTCTTACCTCTGTCTGTATCGAAAGACATCCCGTCCTGACCGTGACATGTCATGACATACATCGGCCAGAGCAGCAGCTGCTCCCTGGGCAACAGCAGTGGCACAGTGTGGTTGGTGACTCTGAAGTGGGGCTCTGGAGTCCCGCCCTTGGCTCACCGTCCTGCTGGAGCCAGGTTTGAAATGAGCTGCCAAGGCAAGGACCAGCCTCATGATAGACTTCAGGTTCCCTTCCACAATATCTGAAGGATGGAAGAGACCAGAAAGTGCTAAGAGGGAGGCAAAGGCTGAGGACTGCTACATTTAATACACAGTGCTGGTGACACAGGGAAGCACGGCAAAGTCTCAGTCCTCTCGAAACTATGTTCAATAGGCTTGGCACCCCTAGCTCAGTGGTTGGGGTGCTGGTCACATACACCGGGGCTGGCGGGTTCGAACCTGGCCCAGGCCTCCTAAACAACAACGACAACAACAACAAAATAGCCAGGCACTGTGGCAGGCGCCTGTAGTCCCAGCTACTTGGGAGGCTGAGGCAAGAGAGTCGCTTAAGCCCAAGAGTTTGAGGTTGTTGTGAGCTGTGATGCCACAGCACTCTACCCAGGGTGACATAGTGAGACACTGTCTCGAAAAAAAAATTATGTTCAACAAGGGAGACAGAAGATTTGAAAGCAATTACAATAAAGTATGATACAGTGTTTTGATAAGAGAAGCGTAGGATTCTTTGGGAGCTCAGAGTAAAAGTGTCTTATGTAGTCTAGAGGGCTCAGAAAGCGAGTTCTAAACTGAGACTTGATGGATGCAGGGTGGTTCATTAAATTAAAAAAGGAAAAAGAGTATTCCAGGAAGAGGGGACAGCAGGTAGGAAGGTCTAGAGGTGAGAAAGAGCATGACATATCAGAGCAGGACTATCCGATGTGGGAGCCACTAGCCACTTGTGGCTACTGAGCACTTAAAATGTCCCTAGTCTGAATTGGAATGTGCTATGCATGTAGTCCTTACTTAGCACACACACACACACAAACAGGAGTGCAAAATATCTCAATGACTTTACATTGACTTCATAGTGAAGTTATATTTTGGATATAATGGGTTAAATGTTATTAAAATTGATTCACCTGTTTCTTTTTTTAGGCTGTGGCTCTTAGGGACCTTTATATGGCTTGCATTATATTTCTGTGGCACGGAGCTGTGGTGGAAGAACTGAAAGAAGAGCAGCCAAGCCAGAGCCCAAGGGGACAGAAGGAAAGGTGAGGGGGCAGGGGGATGAATCAGAGGGTGGGTTGTGTAGGATATGGTAAGCTACGAGAGGGACTTTGGACTTTATCCCAAGGGCACTTGGATGCAGAGGAGTGACACAAACATGTACTCTTAGAAAGATCATTCTGGGAACAGTGTGGAGAGCAGATGAGGGGGGGACAAAAATCAACGCAGGGGTTGGGCGGCACCTGTGGCTCAGAAGAGTAGGGCACCGGCCCCATATACCAAAGGTGGTGGGTTCAAACTCAGCCCCAGCCAAAAAAAAACTGCAAAAAAAAAAAAAAAAATCAATGCAGTGGGACTAATTAGAAAGCTGGTGTACTTCTCCAGGTAAAAGACAGAGGTGTCCTGAATGGCAGTGTTTCCTCAAAATAGCTGACTTTAATGGCCAGATCCCCAAGCCCACTCCAATGGGGACCAGATCAGGGAAATGATGGTATTCTAAATATTGCCCTAGAAAAAAAGAGAAATGTAGGCAAAATAGAATGTGGTAAGTCTGGTGAAAGTCAATGTAAGAAAACAGGTAAAATTTTATTTTATTTTTTTAGCTTTGTACCTTTTAAATATGCAAGGCTTGGAAAAAGATTACTTGATACCTTCCACAAGGTACTCTCAGTATTTGCCCACCTACATGAGCCAGCACAGAGACCACCAATAATCCAGCGGGAGCCTTCCTGCCCCCACTCTCATCAGACCCACAGGTAATCAACCCAGGAACTGAAGCAGATGATACTGTTAATTACATCTCCATGTAGGGCTGAGAAGAATGACCTATGTTTCCATATACTGCTGTGTTGCTTTTGATGTTGTGTTACTGTACAACAGAAATGTGTGCGCTGAGGTTCTGCGTAGGGTACGGAAGAAAAGCCTGGTAGCCCTGCAAGTTAAGAACCGCTTCCATTCATTGTTTACGCTGGAATTTTTCTCCCCATGCAGTATAAGTAAAACTTAGTGTTTGTCACCAATAAATGGTAATACTGAAAAAAAAAAAAAAGAACTGAAGCAGATCTATAGTCCTAGAGAATCAGTGAGAGGCCTGGGGAGCCTGTGTGCCCCAAGGACACCTGTGTTGCTTTTTCCTTGTAGCCTAAGCTGAAGTAGGAGGAGAGCTTGAGCCCAAGAGTTTGAGGTTGCTGTGAGCTAGGATGCCATGGACTGTACCCAGGGCAACAGAGTGAGACGCTATCTCAGTTAAAAAGAAAAGAAAAGAAACGCTGAGTGTATTCACTGACCAAGGATGGGATGAGGCACTGACCTTTGGCTGAAGTCTGGTGCATACGAATCTTTTTGGAGGCCACAAATTGTAGCACTTTCTCCACATTATTCTTCATCTCCTGTTGGTTACTGGGAGCCAGCTGTATCCCACTCAGCTTTTCTCCTGCTGTTAGAAGAAAGAAAATGTATGAAGTTAGAGGAAAGGATGTTACCAAAGTTTCATAGCAGCCAGGCACAGAGGAAGGAAAGACTTGATGTAAATACTACAATTATACATAAATACAGTATATAAGTGAGTTAAGTCCTGGTGTTTGTAATTTAGATGTCGTAGGCTACAGTGGAAGAGGATGACTTATGAGAAGTCAGATTTGGTTATATTTTGAACACAAAGCAGACAGTACATGCGAAGGATTACATCTAGGAAAAAAAGTTAATAATTAAGGATGACTTCTGAGTGTCCTGCTTTAACACCTGGGAAAGTGGCAAAGTGATGTATTATTTAGACAAAGAAACCTGGAGGATAAAGAGACTGGTAGGAAGACCAACAACCAAAGTTCTGATTGGGACATGGGAAGTTACAGTTGCATATTAGAAATCCAAGTACAGTTAGATATTCAGATCTCGAACTTGAGGGAAAGTTCCTGGCTAGAGATGCAAATTTGGGAAGAGATTACTTAGGAGTAGAGGACATTCAAGAGCTAAGGACTAACCCTGGACCGCTCTGACGTACAGAGATCAGGGAGGACAAAACTCCAGCAAAGCAAGCTGGGGCAAAACTATCGGGACCCCATCTCTACAGAAAATTCCAAGAAGAAAAAATTAGCTGATCATGGTAATGCGTGCTCAGGTACGTGGGAGGCTGAGGCAGGAGGATCGGAGGGGCCCAGGAGTTTGATCACACCACTGTACTCCATCCTGGATAACAGAGAAGACCCTGGCTCAAAAAAATTTAAAAAGGAAGGAAGGAAAAGCCAGCAAAGCAAATAGAAGCCAATGAGGAAGGTAGAACAGAAGCCAATGCGGGCGGAAGAAAACTGGAATCTAGTCTGTAGGGTCCTGGAGACCAAGTTAAGAAAAGTCCTTAAAGGAGGAGGGCGTAACTGATTATGTCAAGTACTGCTAAGCTGAATAAAAGGAAGACCAGGGCCTCGGCACTAATTTGACAAGGTGGAGGTCACAACCTGGAGGAAAGCAGTTTTGCTGGAGTAGTGGGATCAAGAATCCGATAAGGATGGCTTGGTGCCTGTGGCTCAAGCGGCTAAGGTGCCAGCCACATACACCTAAGGTAGCGGGTTAGAATCCCCAGCCCGGGCCCGCCAAACAACAATGATGGCTGCAACCAAAAAATGGCCAGGCGTTGTGGCGGGCGCCTGTGGTCCCAGCTACTTGGGAGGCTGAGGCAGGAGACTCGCTTGAGCCCAGGAGTTGGAGGTTGCTGTGAGCGTGATGCCATGGCACTCTACCCAGGGGGATAGCTTGAGGCTCTGTCTCAAAAAAAAAGAATCCGATAAGGAGAGGTTAAAGAAAGAAGAGGAAATAAGGAGGCAAAAGCAGTGAGCAGAGACGAAATCTTGGGAGGAGTTTTTCTATGTAGCAAAGTCACAATATAAAGTTGTAGTTAAGGCTCGGCGCCTATAGCTCAACGGGCTAGGGCGCCAGCCACGTACACCTAAGGTGGCGGGTTCGAATCCCCAGCCTGGACCCGCCAAACAACAATGATGGCTGCAACCAAAAAATAGCCAGGCGTTGTGGCGGGCGCCTGTGGTCCCAGCTACTTGGGAGGCTGAGGCAGGAGACTCGCTTGAGCCCAGGAGTTGGAGGTTGCTGTGAGCTGTAATGCCATGGCACTCTGCCCAGGGGGACAGCTTGAGGCTCTGTCTCAAAAAATAAATGAATAAATAAATAAAGTTGTAGTTAAAAGCCTAGTTTGGGGAAAACTAAGAATACATATGCATAATGCTTACATATGCACAGAATATCTTCTCTGGAAAGAAATACAAGAAACTGCTGACACAGGCTGCCTGGAGAAAAAATGATGGGCAGCTGGTGGAGGGACCTGAATGGAAAAAAGGCTTTGGACTTTACATGCTTCTCTAACATCTGGATTTCCTGCCAGTGCGTGTCACCAAATAAATAAAAAAAAAAAAAATTAAACGTTTAAAATGGGCTTTGGAATTTAAGTGATCTAGCTTTGAATCTCGGCTTTGGCACTTAAGAGTCAGACGACTTTGTAAAGTTGCTCAGCCTCTTTAAACCTCATAAAATAAATAGTAGTACGTGTATTCTGCACGTATCATCAGTAAAACAAAATAGCATGCTTAGCTACTTTGCTTGCCTCAAACTAAGTATTCGACAAACTTGTTTATTTTTATAAAGCCTCTCTTTGAAGCTTGTTTCCTGAAAGTGGGGATAGTATCTGTTTCCCAAGGTGCTATTACTGACATTACAAATGAACAGTCTGATGAACTCATGAGCTGGGCCAGTGAAGTATTCACAGATGGGCTCCCTGCTGTAAACCTGGCTTCTTGCAAGCTCCACATCCCTCAAGGACGGTAAGCAAGCTCAGCTGACTAGTCTAATGATAAATGTTGGAGTCCCTCTTATGTGTGCTCGGAAAGGGATTATACAACAAAAAAGGTTATGTTGTGCCTTCTCTTAAAGAGCTCAGTCTATACAGGGGAGATAGGTAAAGAAATGATTACCATCAATACTTACCATGGGAGGAGAGAAATAATAACAGAGCTATGGACAAATGCTATGGAAATAAGGTTATGGCACCATCTAGTAAGAATGACCAGGGCTTCAAGAGGGAAAACCCTTCTGCAGAGCATTACGGGGACATCACACAGGGGCCCTTTTGCTGGTAACATTCTTCTTTTTACCTGGTGACTACTTTTCTGGCCAAGGGTTAGCTATCAGTTCTTCTGGCAGACCTCCGTTTAGACAGCAGTTCTTCTGGTAAGCCACCCCTGGGCCCTAAGACAGGGCTGAGCATCCTTCCTATGTGCTCCCATCTGCATTTACCCATCAGAGTGCTAAGTACATCGTGGAAATGACTTCCCTTTCCAGCCTTTCCAACTGGATTGGTAGAATCTTGAGAGCACAGACTGTGCTGTCATCAAATTCCCAAACCAAACATGGTACCTGGTACACAGTGTTTATTAAATAATAAGTGAATTAACCTTGGTCAAGTATTTTACATCTTCTCTACTTTGATGCCACCTATTCTAAAGAAGAAACAATGTGCTCTGAGGGAGAAGTGGCGGATAGAGAAGGCCATATCTGGGTCTACGCTAATATCAGAATCTGGGTGCTACTGACCAACGATCTCGATGAGATACGCCAGGATCACCCCATCCCGCAGATCCTGCCGCAGGTCCTGCACAGGCTTCACCGCCGGCCTCTTCTTCAGCTGTGCATTCACCCAGGCCACATAGGCTTGTAGCTGTTGCTGGAAAACATAGGTGGAAGTAAGGAAAAGGTTGTACATTGATCTCGTCCCCTACCCTGAACCCTCTAAGGCAGCATCAACATGATGGGGTTGGACAACCTACATCAGAGGAAGGAGGAAGAGGTTTTTTAAGGACAGAAAGAAGGGGGCGGTGCCTGTGGCTCAAAAGGGTAGGGCACTAGCCCCATATGCCAGAGGTGGCAGGTTCAAACCCAGCCCCAGCCAGAAAAAAAAAAAAAAAAAGAAAGAAATTATCACTGGGCTCAGAGCCTGTGGCTCAAGTGGCTAAGGCGCCAGCCACATATACCTAAGGTGGTGGGTTTGAATCCAGCCCAGGCCCACCAAACAACAATGACGGCTGCAACCAAAAAGTAGCCATGCGTTGTGGTGGGTGCCTGTGGTCCCAGCTACTTGGGAGGCTGAGGCAGGGGACTCGCTTGAGCCCAGGAGTTGGAGGTTGCTGTGAGCTGTGATGCCACAGCACTCTACCCAGGGGGACAGCTTGAGGCTCTGTCTAAAAAAAAAAAGGACAGAAAGAAAGAAGATTATGGACAACCGACATCAAAAGAAGGAGGAAGAGGTTTGAAGGACAGAAAGAAGGAAGACAGTATATATTATGGTCAGACACAGACCTAAAATTCTCTAGTTTTATGCTAATCTTCAGGGATAAACTAACCTCTGATTTGGTGGCATTGTAACACAGTTAAGCAGATGACTCTTGCCTTTCCTTGAGTTTTGCTCTGTCGACTAGGGATGAGGGCTAGGCCCAGAACCACAGCCACTTTTGGGGTATAATCACTGCTGCCAGTGACCCACCACACTTCTCGTGTGCCATACGCTCACTGGGCTGTGATACTCATGTGAATTGCTCCAGGGGGACCAGGAATAAGCAGTAAACCCTGCCCCGAGCTGCCTCTCCAATAGCTGCTTTCTTCAAAATGAGACTTAAGCAAAACCATCTCAGAGTCAACCCAAGATTTAGTCTCCTGAGCCCATAATCCTAGGATTGCTACAGAGTTAGTTTTAATCCATGCTTTATGTTGTCAAAGAGGATCTGGTTTCCTAAAACCTACACAAAGAGGAAAAAAGATATGGCTATGGCGAGCAGTGTTATTATAGACTGAGAGGCACTTTCATTTACTTTTAGACAAAGCTAGAACCTAATATTATCAGAAATCTGTCAGGGACCTAGGAAAGAACATATAACTCATCCCAACCCTTGGACAAACATATATTCCATTTTGTCCAACAAACAGAACTTGGACGCAGATGTTTATTCTGATTATTTGGACAGAAGATGGGCACTAACATTAAAATAGCACATAAACAATGTCAGGGTCCAGGCAGCAGCTTTGTCTGGTTTCTGTAGCAGCCCAAGACTCTGAACCTAAAAATTAAGTTCAAGGGCTAATTATATTAAATTATAATTTGGTTAAAATACGGTTGATTTCTAAGCCCCAAGTACTTCCTTAATGAAATGATGCTGGAAATTACTCACTGGCTGCTTCCGGAGAGAAAATTAAGTCTTGTCTGTTTTCTCTCTGTTGACTTACGGGAATGAATAAAATCCTTTGGAAGACAGTACTGAACAGCCTATTAGCTACAGACAAACTGCAGGAAATACAATGATCAGGAGGAGGTAGGAGCAGGAATCTATTACTTATTCAGAACTACCATGAACTCAACACCTTTTAATATTCCACAAGTTTTAATTGGTTAATTAATGTACTTGACACAGGGCCCAACCCACGATTGATACATCCTAAGTAGTCATCAACTTTATCATCATGGGCTCGGCACCTGTGGCTCAAGCGGCTAAGGTGCCAGCCACATACACCTAAGGTGGCAGGTTCGAATCCCCAGCCTGGGC